CCTCCCCAAGAATTAATCTTCTAAGGGTACTCAGATTTCTTTACATTACTCACCAGTCCTACATTGGTCTTTAAAATATATATCAGCTTCACTTCCAGAGAAAAATCACTGTTTAGTTAAACTCGGATTTGAAGTGGGATTTGTTTTATATGAATAGAAGAAAATAGAGGTATTTTCATTTACAGCAAATGCCACACATTTTGTTTGTAGAGATGTATTTCCATTTCAGGCTGCATTTCATGGCACATTATATTCTTTTCTTTTTTTTCACATTATATTCTTAAACTAGCCAATTCAGAGGTATTTTGATTGCAATCTTTCTTAATAAAACTTTATTAGTACACAGACGGCCTTATTTTTAAAAGGAAGAACATTATTTTCAAACAGTCTTCAAGATGTATTAAAATCTACGATGTTATGCCCTGGCCTGTTTGGCTCAGAGGTTAGAGCGTTGGCCTGCAGACCTAAGGGTCTCCGGTTTGATTCCCAGTCAAGGGCAAGTACTTGGGTTGCAGGTTCCATCCCTGGCCCTGGACGGGGTCATGCAGGAGGCAACCAGTAGATGTGTCTCTCTCACACCGATGTTTCTTTCTCTCCCTCTCTCTCTTTTCCTCTCCCTCTCTCTCTTCCCTGCCCCTGCTCCTCTGTCTTTAAAAAAAATAAATAAATAAATCACTGGAAAAATATCCTCAGATGAGGAATGACAAAAAATGAAATAAAATAAAAAGTACTAAATATGTTAAAAGGAACATGCTCACTATAAAGCATTCAAACAATTCAAAGGCAGATAAAGTAGAAAATCAAAGTCTCCACCTAAGTGTCCCCTAATAGGTCACTGCTCTCAACATACTTTATTAAAAAGAGGAAGCGGTATCACGTCCACAGGCTTCCAAAGGTAGTAAGTCAAGAAAAGATCACTCTTAACAGTCTTTACAACTTCTTTATAATTAAACACACACAATTCATTGTAAACGTCTCCCCAGAAAACAAGCAAAACAGTGAGAAAATAGCAAAAACAATAACTTCAAAATCTGAAGGCAAAGAGGTATGTTTTTTTTTTAAGGAGACAATTTAGAAATGTCTCGTTCCCCTCCCCATTAAAGGTTACAGACTAATACCCAGAAGCAGCTGCCTTTGGAAGGTCAATCAATCATCTGGTTTTAGTAAAAACGAAAATGTTACAAAACACTGGCAGCGAAACACACAGAGAGCTCAGAGAAGAAGCAGAGCCAACAGCCCGTATGAAATATGACATTAAAAGCGAGAACAAGGCACAAGGCTCTTTGTCTTCCCGTCGTCGGCCAGAATGACCAGGAACTGCAGTCAGTACCACACGTGAGCAGAGATCACGCAGCTGCAAACAGACTGCACATCGGTCCAGTAACTCGGATCACAAAGCAAGTTCAGAATTCCCATGAAGACTCTTGACTAATCTGACACAGCCCTCAGCAGACAGGAAATCTGAGGCTATCAATGCGGCGGACACACAGGAATGATCAAACGTCGCTCTGGCTCTGGCTTGTTTGGCTCAGCAGCTGCTTCCTAGTCAAGGACACGTGCGTGGGTTGCAGGTTCGATCCCCGGCCCCAGTCGGGGTCGTATGGGAGGCAACAGATTGATGTGTCTTTCCCACATCGATGTTTCTCTTTCTCTCTCTCTCCCTTCCTTCCACTCTCTAAAAAAAAAAATCAATGGAAAAAATATCCTCAGGTGAGAAATTACAAAAAAAAAAAAAAACAAAGGTAGCTCTGGAAAGAGGGCACAGACTCCAGCCCAAGCCAAGAAGTCAATTCAAGAAGGCAGAGACTCCTTGCATTTTTCAAAAGAAAGCGTGCATGCATGAGTGTGTGTGTGTGTGTGTATGTGTGTGTCCCCGCACACCTGCACGACCTTCCAAGAAGAGTAACTTCTAAGAACCAGAATGAGTGGGGACACAGAGAAACACTGTGCCATTGTGTAGTAGGGGATCCCAGAACAAGCCTTCTTGGCTTACACCAGTGACCAAAACACTCCAAAATCCATGCCCTCAAGAAGGTGCTACTTCAGTAGAAGCAGGTAGAAAATCGGTTATGATAAATAAAATAAATAACGAGTTAAAGGCTGGAAGTACTTGGAGAACATAAACCAGGGATGGGGACAGGGAATAGAGACGGGGGCAGTTGTATATTTACAAGGTGGACAGGACAGGCCCCCCCGAGAAAGGGATATCTGAATGAAGGTAAGAACCAAGTCTAAGGCGTCCATAAAAACGGACGTGAGGCACTTTGAGTCTAGACTAAAACATTAATGCCATGAATGAACAAGAAATTCAAAACTAAACTTAAGCCCCAAACTGCCCATCTTCACCCTTTGAGAAACTGCTGTAGCCGGTGTAGCAGCTCAAAAAGACAAGTGACGACCAGAGCAGCGGAGTCCACTCAGAAACCTTAGCTGACCCAGTTAACAGAGCTTCTAACTTACCAACTGACGACCTCACCCGTACCCTTGCATGCACTGCTACACGTGAAAGGCACAAGTTCACTTGCCTGGCTTGCTTGTACAAGAGGCTTTCAAGGACTCTAATCCTTTGTCACCTCTGCTGCGACTAAGCGTCTCATAGGAGCACCCTGGCTGAATTCAGGTGGTAGGAGAATGTTCAGGCCAACTGGGGGGCAAAGGGGACCAGTTGTTGGGCCCTGTGGCATAACAGAGAACAGGGGAAGTAGGTAAAGTAATAATTTAAGGGGAAGAGAGTAGCTTAATAGAAAATGAAGGAGAAGGAAGGTACTAGGATTCTAGGTCGCAGACAAATGGGTCAGGAGTGATTTCTGAGGATTGGATCAAATCACAGGGAAGCAGCAGAGTATAGTATCCATTCTGGTCGGCTGGGGTCAGAGCACATAGGCACTCAGAGTCCCCAAGGAAAAGACACCCAGATATGGGTAATGCTGGGAAAGACCGGTCCTGAGACCTACTGAAGAAGTGTCCGAACCCAAGGCAAAGGGAGACTTGGAAGTGGAGTTCAGAAAGGCAGGCTGGAGACAGCACACACGGCTCAGGTCCACAGAGAGCTGCTAGGCTGTCAGACAAGTACAGTGGGTTTGCAAACCCAAGGAGATCAACCTGCAGCCAACCCTAACCCAAGGGCCAGGGAAAGTGAAGGAGCTGCGGGGCATATCCAGCTCCACCAGAGGCTGGGCTCTGCTGCTCCCGGGACTGAGGACCTCGGGGAGGGCACAGGGCCACATCCTCCATATTCGTCCCTCCTCTTACAGCTCCTGGCATTCGCCTTGTGGATGATGCTTTCCCACGAGCTCACACCCCCACCCCGAACGTGACCTCCTACAGTGTTTACAATTCAGGAAGAAGTGCTTTTATAAGAACTGCCTTCATTCCTTTCCCAATGAGAGCCCGATTCTACCGAGCTGGGGAGCTGTCCCCCACATACGAAATGTTTAGCAATGGGGACTCTGCGGGTGCCTGCTGGGGAGTGGCCCTCAATCTGCAGATCAGCCTTCGTCACACCATATGCATCACAGGAAACAAACGAGTGCAGATTTGGGTTACCAAGGAGAACACTTAACACCCGTTAGAAAAGGAATCAGTATCTGTCCTGCACTCCTTAACTTTCCAATTCCTAAAAATTTACGGGGAAATAGTCATAGAATTACCAAGAATCTTTAAACCCTGTATTTTAAAAACTCATTTTTGCCAAGTAGAGAGATAAATACAGATTTCAACTGTCATAATCCCAGTTCTTGAATGTGGTAAAATTTCCAGGATTTGGTAGGCATCAGACATGAAGTTAATTTATATAAAATAGCACAGCGACAAAAAACTGGCACTCTGGTCCCATACTGGTGAGACCAGATATTGAAGACTTTTTTATACCATCTATTTAAATAAAGTGGAACCAATGTTATAAACACGCTGGTAGAAAGAAATGTTTCAATAAAAATTAAATCCATTTTATTCTCTGAGGAAAACCTGTTCAACTGTCAACGCTTTTTGGGGGGTCCCCTTAAATGTGCTTGCTTTTGTATGATAATAAAAATTGGCCAATTGTTAACTTTGGAGCAAGGTCAATTAAGAAAAGAAGCTCAGCCCTGGCCGGTTTGGCTCAGTGGTTAGAACGTCGGCCTGTGGACCAGAGAGTCCCGGGTTCGGTTCCTGCTAAGGGCACGTACCTCGGTTGCAGTTTGCCCCCCGCCCTGATTGGGGTTGTGTGGGTGGCAGCCACTCGATGTGTCTCTCTCACATCAATGTTTCTCTCTCTTTCTCTCTCTCTCTCTTCCCCCTTCTCTCCCTCCTGCTCTGTCTGAAGATAAATGCAAAAATGTCCTCGGATGAGGATTTAAAAAAAAAGAAGCTCATGTCCAAACACAAATCACTTCGTCTTCAGATATTAGGTCAAAAAACAGGCATCATTGTTTTAGCCATTTCTGTGGACATAGCAGTAACTTAATGACTATGTAAAAAAAATTCTTTTAATAAGTAAACATTTTCCTTTTAACTCTGTTAAACTTATAAATGCAACAGTAAAAAAAAAGTACTTGTTCCACCATGAACTACAATTTGTTCATTTGGGGAAAGTTTGGCTTTTATGGAGATTTCTTTAAGTCTTTCCCCCACGGATACTGAGGGATGAGTTACCTTTGCTTTTTGCCGCTCTGATGTTCAGAATCAAACATGCGGTCACACCACAGTAACACGAGAGAGCTTTATCTTCTGCTTGTGTTTTAGTTTTCCCCAAATCTCAACATTCCAATAAATTAACATTTCTGCTGAGCCTGAGTTTTAGCTTTCAATGTATGGCACCATTTCGTTTCCTTTATTTCCAGTTAGGGTCAGATTTTTGTGGAACAAGCAAGACAGGACCAAAATACTTCATTTTAAAATGTAGTTAAAAATAAAGATGTGACCATAGTTCCAGCATCCGGATCCACTCCATACGAATGAACATAAAATAAAAGTGTTCGCGAACAAGTAGAGGCTAGTCAAAATTCCACTCAAATACTCACCAGGAGTGATGGTCTCCAACATATCAGAACTGACCTTCCGGGTACTTGTACAGTGATGGAGGGTGGAACCCGAAAAGACCAAGTAAAATACTACATCATCCTCCACTTTGTCTTCTTCAGCGAGCAATACAGTAACGACGCAATCACCCTAGGAAAGGGAGAGATGGACAAGTATGCGTTTAGTAAGGTTCCGCTTGGGAATCTATATTTATACAACATCACATTTAAGGGGAAAATCAAATGCATCATCTAAACATGCCCCATGCTAGGAGGTTCATACAAATGCAAACAGTGATGGAGCGCTTACATATGAGTCAGTATTCTAGGCACTAAGAATACAAAATAACAAAGTACGATTTCTGGCCTCTCTAAGCTTACATTTTATTGCAGGTAGTGAGACAAACAAGTAAACTAGCAAGATAACAGATGGTATATTTACTTGATGAACAGGGGAGAAAAAGGCAGAAATCAAGGAAAATCCAAAAACAAGGCAGAGAGGATGGAGGTGTACCGATTGAGTGACAGCCCATTCTGTGCTCAGAATGTCCTAGCCTCTGTGTTTCAGCTGCAGCAATAATTCTCTAAATTCTCCATCCTAGAAACCACTACCAAGCCCACCATTCTCTCGCAAGGGGGAGGGTCTCTGCCAGAGCTGACCTGGGAACCGCAGAGTACAAACAACATAAGCTTGTGCACAGAAATGAAGGTAATACTGTCTCTCTTTACAGCTGAAACAGGACGGGGCAAAAGTAGGTTTACACCAGTGAGCGCGCAAAACACGGTTCATTCGCCCTGGCCGATTTGGCTCAGCGGTTAGAGCGTCAGCCTGCGGTCTAGAGGGACCCGGGTTCGGTTCCCGCTAAGGGCATGTACCTCGGTTGCAGTTTGTCCCCGGCCCTGGTCGGTCGTGGGGGTGGCAGCCACTCAATGTGTCCCTTTCACATAGATGTTTCTCTCTCTCTCTCTCTTCCTCCCACTCTACCTGAACAGAAAATGGAAAAATGTCCTCAGGTGAGGATTAAAAAAAAAAAAAAAAAAAAAACACGGTTCATTCTTGTATTATTATTAATTACTGTGTTATTGTCCATACAAACAACTGTGAACCTACTTTTGCCCCGCCATGTATATAAAAACTCTTGGAACGTATTCAACTTGATGATAATCTCCTTATTCTACTGTATTTCTTACAATTTGTGTTTCCTAACCACCTGGGATCCCACTTTTCTTTATACATCCCACCACTGAACCGTTGGAGTCAGACAAAAATCTTGGGCCAGGAACTTTGCCCATGACTCTAACTATTTAAAAACATTCTTTTAGCAGTTTTATATGTTAATTTTTTTTTTATCCTCACCCGAGGACATTTTTCCATTTTTTTTGTTCATATAGAGTGGGAGGGAGAGAGAGGAAGAGAGAGAGAGAGAAACATCGATGTGAAAGGGACACATCGAGTGGCTGCCACCCGCACAACCAACCAGGGCTGGGGACAAACTGCAACCGAGGTACGTGCCCTTAGCGGGAACCGAACCCGGGTCTCTCTGGACTGCAGGCCGACACTCTAACTGCTGAGCCAAACCGGCCAGGGCTATATGTTAATTTTTTTAAATTGAGGTCTGTGGCTACATTAAACACATTCTATGAAATACAGTCCTAAGTACCATTCTCCCAACCATAAACATTATATAACTCGTGTTGTAACCATAAACAAAAGAGATTTACAGTATCTTACTAATGCACTATGGAAAAATCAATTTAGAGAAAGCCATGCCATTTCAGCCTTCAGTAGGGGACAGAATGCTCATTACTGACAGTATGTTTCTCCCTTTCCATGGTAGCAACAGGAAAGCCATACCCACAAGAGACCCACGCCACCCTGTGGCCACAAGGAGGCCCCGCGACGTACTGGAGCAGAAACACACACTGACAACAAAAACCTTCAAGCCAAACCCAGGATCAAGGCTATCGACAGAAATGCTCTGATAGGCTGACGGTGGAAACAGCGTTCAAAATATTCCCCGAAGCTCAAATCCGCCGAATGTAGCATGTAAGAAGTCAGAATGAACTAACTACACAGAAGCTGTAACTTACTGCCAAGTTCTAAAACACCCGAACACACGGAACAGCACAGACTTCGGTCACTACAGTTACACTTTAGACGCGTGTATAGAGTCCCTTTCTTGGAAACACTTTGGAAAAGTTTAGGCTGGTGAAATGTTTAATTTCTCAAGGCACTGAAATAACATTATAACCTGAAAGAAAAGGTGTAAATGCAAGTTCTGAAAATTCATCCTCTAGAGGCTGATCAATTTGACCCACGGCCCTAAGCCAGCCCTCTGCTTTGTTTCTGTTTGACTCAGAGCTGAGAAAGGGTTTTTCACATGTTTGAATGTTTGAAAAAAACCCACAGAGAAGTAGCTTCAACACGTGTACCTCACATGACAATCAAAGTTCAGGGTGAATAAATAAAGTTTTATTGAAGCATAGCCACACCCATTTGTTTACATGTCTATGGTACTTTTGCACTAGAATGGGCCGGCCACAGCAGTGTTGAGTGGTTGCCATGGAGACTGTATGGCACTCAAACCTAAACAATTTCACAGAGGAAAAAAAAAAAGTTGTTTTCACCTAGATAACACCTGGAATTCTAAGAACGTTTCTTCCTTTTCTGGATGAAGGAATTCCTCTCTGGGGTCTGCCTTCTTTTAACTGGGGACAGGGGAGATGGCTAATGAGCAGTTGAAATCCTTTTAAGAAAGCTCTAAATATATCAACCTCTCTTTTCATCCCCAAGGCAGAAGTAAATAAGTTTCTAATTGTTTTCATAGCTTTAATCGTTTCTTTTCTTTTACACTAAGTCAAACTAGCTAAAATATGGAGTAGAATGGGAACACAGAAGCCTCCATCACGTTTAAAGTCACTGGAAATTTAGATTCCAAAGGCACTTGGAATTAAAGTACCTGTGTTCCCTGGAAGAGTATTCTCTGGATTCTGATAGCCACTGAGAGTAAATAACAAAAATTCTTACTCTGCATTTTCACCAAGACTCCAATTGTACCAGGCACCTTGGATGACCTGAGACATGGTCTTGAAAGATTAAGCAAGTGGAGTGGTGATTACAAAATCAAAACAAAAACAGATTTAAGTAAGAATTTTTGCTGAGGTGGTTGCTTTAATTACACCCTCCTTGAGGGATACCCGTGGTAAATGATTTTTCTGTCCAAAGGAAGAACCAGCCCCACAGAATAAAGAGAGAAATCCATCGGAAAGAGATAAATCCATCGGACTGCCCAGTTAACAAGTCTGCCCTGTTTCTAACTACAAGAGCAACTTTCGAAACATTCTTGATTCGCCCTGGCCGGTTTGGCTCAGTGGTTAGAGCATCAGCCTGCGGTACTGAGAGACCCGGGTTCGGTTCCCGCTAAGGGCACGTACCTCGGTTGCAGTTTGTCCCCGGCCCTGGTCGGTTGTGCGGGTGGCAACCACTCGATGTGTCCCTTCACATCGATGTTTCTCTCTCTCTGTTCCTCTCTCTCCCTCCCACTCTACCTGAACAAAAAATGGAAAAATGTCCTCAGGTGAGGATAAAAAAAAAAAAAAAAACATTCTTGATTAAAATTTGAGTTTGATCCAACCCCAGAAGAGACTGCATCTATCTCTACTTCTCCAATATTTTCCATGTTTCTTCAAAGGCATCCTTGAACCTGACAATTTCTTCAGGGCCGTAATTACTTTTGCTGACAGATGACACCGAATAGAAAAGAAAATCTATACTAGGCCCCATTTTGTAAGTACAGGTGATCCCCAAAATATAGCACTGTAGTCCTAAATGCTACCAATCAATCACCTTTGCCAATAAAAACCGGTTTTGAATGGTAGCTAGGATCTCAGTTTCCCACCTTTACTCATTTATATAGTAGACATACTGCTGTATTAACAGGATTATAGTAACCTTTATACTCATTAATAAGTGAAAAAAACTTCCCACTGATACATCTAAGAATAGAGCTTCCTTTCCTGGATCAAGGATTTCTTCTCCACGTGAGGCCCAACTTCTTGCTGGGGGACTCTCCGTGCCCTAAGATGCTAGTTACATCTAGGGCCTTCTTTTAACTGGAGACAGCCACTTAATGTGGGGGAAATAAAACAGCGACAGGAAAGGCATTTGAGGGAGGAGAGAAAGTGAATTACATACAGTGTGCCGGTGGGTGAAGGGACACGGTCTTGGACCCAAGATGTTAGGGGAAATGGGAAAATGAGACAGGAGATTTCGTGAGAGGAACGGTAAAAGAATGGACAGCACCGATGTGTTAGACAACAAGACAGTGTTAGCCACGAAGTCTGTGGCGGTGGACCCACTGAGCAGCAAGATAACTGCAGTGGTACGCGACAAGGCTCGAACAGGGGGTAAGAGGTGATCACTCTATTTTCAGGAATTCTGCTAACCAACTGCTAGATGTCACAACTACATGATATAAGCTTATTATGAGATCATGCTACAAACCAAAGTAATAAATACTCAAAACATCAGTATTTCATTATTCGATCACAACTACTGCACGGCATGCGTTCTGCTGTAACAGTGTGCTATTGCACACCTTGCACCAGCGCGTGTCTCTCGCCAACGCTGCACAGTGATGAGGCGATGGCAGCCCGCCGTCAACCCTCACGGGAGTCTGTACACGGAAACTGACAAATGCTACAAACAAGAGCTCCCCTGCCTCTTTGTAACCATAACTGAGGACAGGTCAGCAGAAGGTGGGTGTGCCGGAGCAGGCCCAATCGGAGGGGTCACGGCTTAGGAGGCATAAAAGCGGGGAGGCTTGCTACAACAGCAAACCCAAGGCAGACGCAAAGCATCTCAGGTTATGGAAAACAACGCTGCCATAGTTCTGCTCACAAGGTCAATATTGTCACGACCTAAAGTCAGTCTGTTTTCGAACTTTCAAACTTGGCTTACAACTTGCTAGCATACCACAGTGGTACAGTATGGTACATCCCTTCCCACCCATTTAACCTGGGGTATGTTAAATTCTCTGTGCCATCCACGAGGGGTGGCTCCGTTGGGTGGAGCATCGTCCTGGACACCAGAACGGCTGCAGGTTTGATTCCTAGTCAGGGCGCATACTTAGGTTGCAGGTTCTAGCCTGG